CATTGCTTTCCAGAAGATGGCTGTCTCCTTTTTTGACAGTCAGTCACAAGAGGAGGGAGAAGACCGTGGCGAGCCTGTCTGGAGCACCAAGTGTGTATGTGTGTGTGTGTGTGTGTTCATGTGTATGTACATGCACGTGTTAGGATAACTCCACACACAGACACACACACGTCCGGCTAGCCAAAACAAGTATATATCTTGGCCTGCAGCGGAGACAGGCAGCGTTACGTTCACCCGCAGGTCAGGAGCTCTCAGCCCCGTGGCCACCCACCCCTGTGGAATCATGGGAGTGGGGGGAGTTTTGTGTTTGTTTGCGTAACTCTGAGCATCAGAGGGGGCTTCTTCACCCCCTGTAGTGGGCCGATCCTCCATGAGAGCTATTATCTCACGTTGGTTTTTTGACTCCTAAAGTGAAGATGGAAAGAGAGGAAGGAAGAAGAAACTGGGTTCCTATCAGTTTTGCCTCAGATTAAAAGGTGCATTACACTGATTTTACTCATTTTTCTATTTATTTGTCATGAGGAGTCCCACGCAGCCTCTGACCCTGATGATGTCATGAGGGCTATCTCGGGTTGGTCTTGAGGCTTTTTTTTTTTTACAATGTTACACCGTAATGGCCGCGGTGGTCATGCAATTGTAATTTAACAAAAACGCCTTGCAGCTTTACAAAGTTTTAAAGACGTGAGTGTTTATTAGAGAGATTGTAAGGCCTGCAGGGCCGTGTCAGCTGCTCAATGATGATTGGCTCATTGGTCTTTGGTTCCTCTAAACCAGTCACATCCCATAACAAAGACGCATCACAAGACATATTTGGTCAGAATCAAAGCAGCGTAGGAGAAAAAAAAATATTGTGACTTTTACCCCCTATGGATCAAGAATCATAAAACCTACACTTCCCATAATGCAATTTGATTGCATCTTTAATTTGATCCTCTTGTTCTGGTGAATGCAGTATTCAGATCATTTACTCAAGTAGAGCAACAACACTGTAAACAGAATACTCCAGTATAAGTACAACTCTTTCATTGTTACTGGTGTAAGGACATAAGAGCTATCAAATGTACTCAAAGTATTAAAAGTAAAAGTACTTGATGCAGAAAAATGGCCCATGTGGCTATATTATCATCTATTACAGCATATCATGTGAATATTCTCATTGATGTGTTAATGCATGAGCTGTGGTTCGTTAAGGCGAGGCAGCTTTATTTAAATAGCACATTTCAATCTCAATGTGGAGCAGATTTTTAAGTGTATTGTATATTTTGGGTACTGCAATCTATTCATTTCTTTGTGTTTTTGTGTGTAAAATCTTACTCTGTAAAGCTTTGTAATGCAGGCTTTCTGTTAAAAACTTCTGAGTCTGTAAGTCCAAGCCTGATAACATCAACAGGGTAGATTTCTTTTCAGACTTTGGAGCGCTGATTAGTACTCCTCATGACAGGTAAACAGAATCTGTGGAGTTCCCCTTTGGTACAGGAGGAGCACTCAAATACTTTGGGATGTACGACTAGCGTTTTGGTTCCGTCATCATTCACCTTTCATCCCAACTCAGATGTTTGGGGTGCGGTTCCCTCCAACAAGTGTGTCAGCCACTTCCTGTCTCGAGACAAATCCATAGAAGAAGACGGAAGCGGGTTGCTAGGTGGAGGGAAACTGTGAGATCGGCATCTCGTCCTCAAAACACTGCATTGTTGGTTTTTTTTGGACTCTCAGACAGCGTGTATTCAACTACTGACGAATACTTTGGCTGACATTTGTTTCAACCGTTTCCCCCAAGGGGGCCGACTCGACCTCAAGAGAGAGAGAGAGACATGGGAAAATTCTCAGGCTCGCAATAAGATCTGTTTATTCGCCCCCGAGCCACATTATAAGCAGCGGAATTTATAAATAAATTTGAAAAAGAAACGGGGTTTCCCTCCGAACCCCGCTCATTCTCGCCACTCTTTTTTTGTGCAGCGTGGCGCTTCACTTCGAGGCTGAAATGGATCTTTCCTCCGCAGTATCAGTTGCACTGTAGGCTCCACCGGAGCACTTTAAAAATGTGTGTGTGTGTATCTTTTAGCTGGATAACCGCAGTTGAGCAGAGTGCCATGGCGGTGATAGTGGGGAGGTTGCCGGTCTGTGGAAAAGGGGAGGAGGAGGAGGACCTCACATTTAGCTGCTGTCCCTTGGGAGAGATTAAGCAGTTTAGTCTTTGCTGTGTGTCTCTCTCTCTATCACTGCCTCCTGCCTCTCTCCGTGCTCTATTTGGAAGCGGGGCAAAGGGGGGACGGGGACGGTGCACCTTTTCCCCGTCGTCCTCCCTCTGCACTTTCTGTTCCTCTCCTCTGCTCTCGTTTCCTCCGCTCCACTCGCTTCCTTTCCATTCGTCCCGCCTGCTCCTTGCACACTTTCGCTTCTCCTCCCAGACTGTTTCTATTTGACGCCTTCTCCCCTTCTCTCTCCCCCCCCCCTGGACATCCTGGCTGATTCTCTCAGCAGACTGCCCAGATGGCACTGAGCTAGCGTGGTTGGTTGGATGTACAGGAACCACCACCACCACCACCACCACCACCCCCTTAACCCCTTAGCTGCACACCAGCCCCTCTGTCCCCAATCACCCGATAGGCTGCTTCGGCTCGGCCGTCCCACTGAGCTGATCCACCCCCGGGTCCCGCGTGGAGCACCACGGAGCTCAACCGCTACTCACATTAATCTCCTAAACGATCCCGGACCTAAGAGGATCAATACTCATTTTCAGGGAGCAGCATGATCCCTTAATGTAGTGGAGGATGGCTGCTTATCCCTCACTCTCTCTCCCCCCCTCCCGCCACCCCTCCTCAACTCAGTTTCAGCTCCCCGTAGGAAGAGCAGGAGTTAGGCTTTGGATTCTATTTCAAGGCCCACTTCAGTTAAGACAATATCTACCTTTTACGGCTCATGACGTCATTCAGGTGAACAGCACCTGTATGACCCCTTTTGGGGAGAGTTTGCAGGGCCTTCATGATAAAAACAAACGCTGTCTTTATAAGCAGAGGTATTCGTTTCGGAGTGAGGTGGCCGTGTTTTTATGATTTTAGATAATTGACCTCTCTGACCCCGCATTCATCCAGCTCATGGAGGCGTCACATAGGAAGCCTGCGTGTATCCAACACCGAGACCAGCTCCACGTATTACTCATTCGCCGGTGTATGAATTCGCTCCGGTGCAAAACGCACAGTCAATTTTGCCAGAGAAAATAAATACCCCCCCTTTCCCCGTTTTACTCCAGCTCCCCGTCGAAACACAGCGGAGACGTCTTCAGGCTATTTCGATATATAGTAGCGGTGGCGTGATTGTTATTCTTTGTTTTCCACAGACACTGAAAAATGACCCCGTGCTATAATAGTGGCGGGATCCAAGGAAAATGGGAGAGGATCGGACTTTCCATTGGATAACAAGCATCTCGGTTTTTCCAGGCCGCGACTGCACGGTTAGCGGAGCATCTCGTCATTGATCTTTGCTGATGTCGACTGTTTCTGGGGCCTTTTTCATCAAGGGGAAGGCAGAGAGAGAGAATCTGGGGGCACCCTCCTGTCAACCACGTCCCTCTCAGGCAGGCTGTCTATTGGTGGGAGAGGCCACCTGGAGCAAATTTGGAGGTGTTGTTTATGCTCGAGCCATTACTCTCTGTCTGGGCAGCCTGCCCCGAGAAGCTGGACCGTTCTACTGCTACTGATTTATTCAGCCCAGAGATCTGCCGTCCTATGTACACAAGCTGTCACATGTCGCTGAATGATAATCTGATTGTCCCGTAAAGAGGAGTCTAAATACTTGACAGGTAGATTCATATCGTACGCTTGTGACATAGTATCTATGCTTATGTGGTGAAATCTTGGAGCTGTGATCCAAATGCATCCGGCAGAAAGACAGACGTCAAACCTCTGTTTGCTCCCCTAAAATGTTCCCAGTGATTGCAAAATGTCACGGCCTCGTTTCGCAGTCAATAGAGGAGACGTAACTTGAGGGGAAACTGGGTTACGCAGTCTCGCCGGCTTCGATGGACTGACCGATGACAGCACCTCGCATACCAGAGGTCCAGGCATCAGAAACGTTACAGTCATCTGCCTCAAGAACAGCCGCAGCCGGGCAGCAACCGCCGCTCCTCCGGCCTGTAATTGCATGTCACAGGATCTCGGGCATCATTTCACTCTGTGCTGAGTTTGTAAACTTCATCTTTCCTTGTTGCTACAGGCCTCCAGGAGAAATTCACCTCAAACTTGTGATCCTGGATTCTTGTCTATTTACACAGAGCCTACTGTGATAAGTGGTGTGTGTGTGTGTGTGTGTGTGTGTGTGTGTGTGTGTGTGTGCGCCCAGAGGTTTTTCCGTGTCCGCTGCAGCGAGCTCGGCTCAGGAGAACAGCAGGGTTTTTCTTTAGGTGGAGGATCGACTCGGTGATGACAGTCTCATGACTTCGCTCTTCCTCTCTCGAACAATCACACACACACACACACACACACACACACACAGGCTCTGTTCTGTCTGCTGCGTTTCCAACCTACTGTGCTACACAAGCGCGCGCACACACACGCATGACGTAAACAACAGGTCGGTAGGTCAAAGCTGGGTAGAAAAATGACATACTGTACTTGAAGGTGCTTATAATAAGATAATGTGCAGTGATTATGTCACGGAATAATTAATCTTCAACCAATTATGTACAGTATGTGTGTGAGTGTGTGTGTAAGAGAAATAAAGTGATAAATTGCAAAATACAGCACACCTTTTTTTCTTTTTCTTTTTTTTTTTTACAAAACAAACTAAAAAAATATTTATAAAAGAGAGAGTAGGTATTATTTTCATGTTATAATGAATGCAAACTACCATAAAGACTAACCACTATCACCTATAGACCTATACCTTTTTACTTACCACTATAACAAGACAGAGAGAGCTCGTGTTTTTAGCACATGACACATCAGTTAAAGGCAGGGCAGGTACAGCGCGCGTGCACTCATCCCTCTCACTTCCAGTACACACCATGACAAGGTATTGGCAGCGTGGGTCGGGGAGGTGCGGGAAGGTGATGTCGTAAAGCTGAGTGTCGTAAACCAGGTGCGGAGAAGGGGAGGTGAAGGGGAGGGAGGGAAGAGGAGGGAGGGGGGGAGAGGGGGTGAGAGAGGAGGTGACTCTCCGGCAGCATTTAGACACAGCGAAAGGATCATGGCGGATGGCCCCAGGTGTAAGCGCAGAAAGCAGGCGAACCCGAGGAGGAACAACGGTGAGTTGAGCGACTTCCGACGCGGAGCTTTCCTTTCGGGGGAACGGTGTGGAGGCTGTTCCGTCTCCTGGTAATTTCGGCGAAAAGTTTGGCAGCCCACCAGTCCGGTTTTTTAGTGACTGAAAGTGCTGGGAAGTAGCAAGTGAGCGCTGTATTACAGCCCTATGTGGTGGACCGTTATACCTGGGTCGCGTCTCTCCCTCCGCCTAGCGGTCCGCTGCACTGGAGACCGTTATACGCACCTCACCCTGTTATGAGTGGACCAGCTTTTGTCTGCACTTCAATACTTCTTTACTCGTTTTAAACACACTTTTACCCGCCTTACAGACTCTGTGTTCATTGATTTTGTTTCATTCTGTCGAGTTTTTTTAGCCCAGCGCTGAACTCGGACCTGTTTCTGTCGGGAAACGGGCTAACTGATTGTTATTGCGGACCTCGATAGACGGGTTGTCTTTTTTACAGTTTGGGTTGAAAAAAACACATTATATGTAGCTTTGCTTTTGTCAAACACGCCATGAATCAGAGTGAACGCAACTGTTTGGTTCTTTCTTTCTTTCGCTCACTCGTAGCAGGTAGCGACAGGACACTGTTGCTGCACCGCACGGGCGGACAAAACGCAATTTTGTACCCGATTGAACCCTGCCCGCTGTGTGCTTCTAATTAGGTTCATATCATCGACGACACCATTGATGTATTAATGGCAGAAAAAAAGGGAAGAAAAGCGTGTTGTGCTGAAGCACGCTTTTAAGACAGGTCTCTATTTCTTCATCCTCCAACTTATTGCAGTGTTTTTAGTTGTGGGCGGCTCACGTCGTTCATGTTTGATGTTTTAAACACCGGTGTTTGGTAGCGAAGTAACGACATTAAGAAAGCTCAGCAGGAGAAACACGGTTGGGGCAACCGTTCCGGAGAACGAGGGATATCTCACGCGCTGTTTGTGTGAGCAGGGCGAGCGCAGCCCATATAAGGACAGCGGATCCTCTCTGTAGTCGCGAGCTGGGAATCCTAATTCTTGTACGACCTGGGGGGGGCTTTAAACACCCTCCGTTTTCTTTCTTGCTTATTTCAATACACCATTTCAATTGTGTGCTATACAATACAAGTGGATACATTATCTGCGTTTCCGTATGCGAAGCTCAACGGGGTTTTCACCCACCTTATTGCGGTGTCGAAATAGTGTTCATGTGGTTACAAAGTAGCCGATTGGGCTCTCTTTAAGGATACTTTGTCACTAGATATCTCTCGTGTATCTCTTAGCCACCTACGTGTTAATTTAGCTGAATGCCAAAAGACTTTTGCGAGTTGTTAACGTCTTTTTCCCCCGTGTATTTAGGTCGTGGGCTGTTGTGAATCCGCAGAGCGACAATTGAACCACGGTCCTTTCTATTTTGAATTATTTTATTCTTCTTTTTTCCCCTTGTTGCGGCTCTGACTGTTGTCCATCAACTAGTCGTGCTCATGTGTTGTGCCACCCAGTGTAGCTTTAAGGAACTGGGCTAACGCACCAAATCCACCGTTAATTTGGTCAAAAGTAACACGAAGCCACCGCGGACGGACTCGCTTAATGAGCTAATAGCCGCTACTTTCTGCGGCGCTAACGACGGTCATTCGTGACGGTACGGGCGACTAAAGGTGTTTTCTCGCGCGGGGTTGCTGGTGGTGTGAATTTTCTGTGGATACCCGAGGAGTGATGTGAAGAGTGGCATGTTGTTGTTGTTGTTTTTGTTTCGACGGGTGCTGTCGGTGTTTTCCACGGTCATCTCGTTTCTTTATGGGGTGTGTTCAGCTATGCATTCCCTCCCCGGAGCGTTTGTGCAGTTTAATGCGTGCAAGGTGTGGACACACCTTAAATAACGGTCCTGCTGGCTAGGTGTGGGTTTTTCTCCTCGTGGGAGAAAGAATGGGAGTCTTATTTACTCTGGAGACTTTTGTTTTTTAATCTACCTGTCATTTGTTGCGTTTTCCCTTTAACTAAGCATGGTTTTATTAAATAATGACAGTCCTATTGTCATTTAAAGTCTCATCCTAAACCAAACAGATGTGTTCCCTGTTACTTTGCCTCATTTGCATTTTCTTCAAAGAGCCACTAGGGTCTGCTTTTAAGTCCTCACTTCCTGCCACCTCCTGACAAGACTGCAGATCTGTCATGTAAATCAACATCTCTGCTTTTTCTGAAGGGAATTCCTCAGTATAGTTAGATTGAAGGCTGCTGTTGCATATTATCATACCTCTTGGTTTTTGTCACAATGTCACAATGACTTGGCATAAGATATGGGCTGTTGTCTTTGCTGAAACCAAGCATTAATGGCGACTAACTTTACTACATAATGCAAAATGGTGTCAATAGCCGTTGCTCAGGCTTTTATAATTAAGCAAGCCCTCAAGTTGTGCCCAGCTTGCTATGGTCAGAGGCTTTGCCAGGTCCCCGGCGAGCAGGAGGGGGGTTGAGATCAAGGTGAGCCCCATTCCTCGCTGTAAACAGAGAGGTGTTAACAGCCCGCAGGACGACAGGTGTTTGCAATCGGCGGGATACTACAGCTTCCTTTGTCGCTTCTCCCCAGCCTGCTCCCCTAAGGAATAGCAGCCGTTCCCTGTAACGGTAATTTAACACAGCAATTTGGGAATAGAGGAATGCGCCCGGTGTTAACATTCTTTGCAAAAATAAACAGGGCCACGCTGGGACGGCTTTGCAACCGCGCTCAGGAGCTGGGGGATGATGCTTTTCGGAGCGGTGTTACCGAGACTGCTTGAAATGAGTGTGTGCATACAGGTAGCTAGGACTTCTGTTTATTTGACAATATCACACGGGTCATTTGTCTCATCCCCTAATCTGTCAGTCTCTCTCTCTCTCTCTCTCTCTCTTTATATATTTCTGAGGCATTCTCACTTGCACGTTGATGAATCATCCATCAAATAGGGAAAATGAGGTTGTGGGCTTGGCGCTTGGCAACATGTGATGTTGAAGAACATGTTTATTGGCCTGGTAAAACTACACTTAAACTACACTTAGTGCCCCCGGACTCTCCCACCCTGTCTCGAAACTATTGAATACAACCACATGCTGTACGTTTCTGTGAGAAAAATAAAACAAAACAATGGTTTAGCTCCAGTTTGTGAGGTGAAACGAGCCGTGCTCTCGTGCGACAGCGGAGGCTCCCGAGGAGGTGGGGATTGGCCCCGTGGCTCCACATGCCACTTCGGTGTTTTTAAAGACATCTGTTTACATTTAAAAGGTCCACCCCTGTTGTGTGAAGAGTTTAGCGGAGGACATTTTTCATTTACCTCGCTGCTTTTCTCAAACTTCCTCGGCAGCTTCATTTAAAAAGTGCCAAGTAAGAAGAGAAACCCCCCCCCGCCTCAACTCCCTCCTCCCTTCCCAGAGCTTGTCCTTTATTTCGGGGGGTTAAGACACAGTAGCCAGGGGTGCTGTTGATTGCCCCCTGACCCAGGCACCCATGCGTGCCTAGAGTATGACTTCACTTTTCCCCCCCTGTGCCATTGTGAGGCTTCCAGCATGTCCAATTGTGTTTGTGTTAAAGTCTGTTCAGTGAAAAGGGGAGAGAGGAGGAAGAGGGGGGTGTTGGAGCTGCAGCTTTTCCTCCGCTCCCCTCCTCCATGACCCCTTAAACCGTGGGCTCCATGTTCCCTGTGGAGCCGTGGGGGGGGGGGGGGGGGTTGGTGAAGAGTGACTGAGGTGACTAGAGAATTTTACAACAGGTGACATCTGAGGGGCTGTGGCAGATGAAAAGCATGACACGCTTGCCAGCTATCTCCTAGACCTGTATGGATTCTAGGGTCAAGACTGTAGGAGTCTGTTTTGCATTTAAACCCCTAAATGAATCCATACAGGTAAAGATCCAAACTTTTTACTTGTCTGTTTTCTGTTAATCATCTAGGGGGGAAAAAAAGTTGTGTTTGTGGCTAAACTTCGTCCCTCAACATGTCCATCCGGGTGGGGAAAGGCCCGTCCTCATCTGACCATTCGGCAGAATTTAAATGATGTGATGTACGACCACACTCCCACCTCTGTTAAGGCGGCTTAATGATTAGCTGCTCCCATGGAGGCTGAGAGCGTTAGCCCATAAAAAAGGTGCTCTCCCTCCGTAAAGCAGGAGTTTTAAACCCAGAGTCAGTTTCAGTAACCCCCTTAACTGCGCTTGGATGTGCTTTATTGGGGTTTGCGTGGCTGAATGCTTAAATGAACCATTGTGTGTTCGGGCTTTAGTGAGAAAGCCCGAGGAGAAAGAGCCTAGTTACCTTTGCAGCTTGCCTGCTCTACCTCATACACTTTCAGCGGCAGAAGAAAAGGCCCATTCAGCGGGCCCGGCATGGGGAGGGAGAGCCCTTTTCACACTCGGCTTGTGGGAAACTTCTCCTCCATACTGTGCATGCCATTTGCATATGACCCATTCTTTTCCCAAAGGTCCCCGCGAGGGAGGAATCCGCGGAACGTTCGCAGAATTCATCAAATCCCTCTCTCACGCAGCCCTCCGAGCCCTCAAGAGCCTGCTTCACAGCCCCGTTTGACATTTTTTGCCTCGGAAGCGCAGCTTAGGCCCGTGTCACGGTTTCTTGCTTTAATGTTAACGCCGACGCATCGCCCCGTGGCATTTCGCGCACCGTGTATTCTGAAGTGGCGACATGCTACCCAGTGTGCTATTTTTAATGTCAGGGTGAAGGCTTAATTTGGCACAGCCGGCACGAGTCTCCCCCAAATCCCCCTGCAATGATGGGCCATGAGGGGGTCCATCTGCACGACAGGACAATGTGGCGGGGGCGGCGCGCCTCGGATGCTCCCTAACTGACACAGCCAGATTGTCCAACACTCTCCCTGAAAGGACACAAATATTGAGCATAGGGGGTAACACAGGGACGAGGCGGTGGGAGCTCAGTGAACTGTACAAAAACACAACCGTCACTCTGGTCGCCCCCCTCCCTCCCTCCCTCCCTCCCTCCCTCCATCCATCCAAGAAGAGCAGCCTGGTCTGCCTCTCGCCAGC